GTTTTTAGGTTGTTTTGAGGATAGTGCGTGCTAGGTTTTACGTAGTTGTACATTTGCTGACTCATCTTGTGAGTGTACCTAGAAGGACCAGAGGCCAATCTATACCCGTTGTGCCGAGGGTTCGAGTATACATTTCCGTTGACATGGTACCTAGTGGTGTCCCGTCTAGTAGCCCATGTGTTTTCATTATTGATTATGGGTCCCGTCCTCAGGTTATATGTGCCTACAGGCATATTACAACCTCGGCTGTTGCGGAAATCGTGGGTATCACTCTGCTGTTTGATCAGCCCGGCGCCCCTTGCATATCTTCTGGCGTGTGATTTTGTATAGGTAGAGCTATTTTTGCCGTTAGTGATCACCTTGTGCAGTTTGTCGTCCTCAATTCGTCTGCTACTCTTAGTTCGACGAGGAGCACTTCCATTCACGTCTTCCATCTCCTTTGTGGGACCTGCCGCAATGCGTGCATAGTTCTTTTTTAGGCTTATATGCTGCTTGTTGGGCTTGTTATAAGAGAGGTATGTGGATGCATGAGGAGAAACCTTGGTTTTAGGGGACTTCTTTACGGCGTTTACAGTGGAATTGTCTTGTTTGGCCATGGGTGCAGTGTGATCTGCCGATATTTGCAGGTTATCGGTAGTAGGAGCATCTACATCTGCTTCGTGGGTGTGGTCAGTAGATTTACTAGGAGTGTTCTCACGAACTTCGAGACCCATTACAGTGTTATTGCTCTTTTTGGGTTTCCCTTCGCCTTCGCGTGTCGTTTGCTCACCTACTACAGTGCAAGTGTCACTTTGTGCTACAGTGTCCTTTGACACTTCGGTACTGACGCTATTTACCATTTGTCCTTTAATCGTGTTCGTATCTATGGTGTTCTTAGCTACTTGTCGTTGGTTGGGGGTTTTGTCCGGGACTATTTTAAGATTATTCAGTTTTGTGGTGGAAGCCAAAATATCCTCAGATTTCCAGAATTGTTCGGCTATAATACAGCTGTCAAACCTGAAAAGTATGGGACATGTGCAGTTTGTCTCTTTTTTATTTAGTCTAATACTTAGAAGGTTGGCAGCTCTTAACAAGTAGTGCTGAACAGATTTTATGGGCTGTTTGTCAGGTATGTTGTACACTATGGCGTTCTGTTTAGAAGCAAGTCCCTTAACAACTTCGCTCGACAAATAGTCCATAACGTTTTCTAGCTCCTTATAATATAATATAATATATATTTCACATAAATTAAGCATTTACATGATTCACATACCGTTTGTACAGGCATGAACATATTAGAGAAGTGCAGTCTCTAATTGAACACTTTTCTGAAATTAAAAATTGGAAAATGACCTCTAGAAACTTTATAAGAATACAATATAAGATTTTGGTTTAAGTCTAAATTATAATATTTAATACACTCATAGTGAGTCAGATTTATGCGGGAATTATGAAATTTTTCGTTGATGGAATGTAAGAAGAGAGGTGATATACACGTGCTGGAGTAAGCCACACTGTATCCAGACAGTTATTTTTATCATTTTATCAATCAATAAGAGTTCGAAAGTTTATAAAAATCCACATTAGATGGTAAGTACAGCATTATATTGGTATTAGCAGATAAAAGGGACCAATTGGTCGCAAATTTAACTTTGCGATGTTGAACATAATTCAAAATGGAATTCGTTCCGTTGTTCATCGTAAGTGCTAACAATATGCTGGATACCGCTCAAGTAATAAAAATGTAGAAAGCAGGATTCCAGGTTTCGATACCAGTGTTTACCCACTGACTCCGTTTTCACGCATAAGATTGAAAACGAAAGTTTCTCTTAATCTGTTTCACTACTTCGAAATCGATTAGGATGAATTTACATCTAAGAATCTGACTTGGAATCTGACTGGAACATTGGTTGTTTAATACTGACAAGACTGTCAAAATAGCTATTGTCAAACTTAAAACACATTCTATACTACAACTTTTTTTCATTTCGGTTAACACCCCAGTGATCTTGAATAAACACCCCGTCGAAGGATTTCCGAGGGAGGGAATTTCATATTTAATCAATTTATAGGAACTTTGAGAGTCACGTAGAGTTCATAGTTCTTAGAAATCGACAGCCTTTTTCAAGGCACCGTGTGGAAATTCAACAGAGTGTGAAAGACAGTTGGCGCATAAATGAATAATGAAGTGTCACTAGTAAGCTAAACCCTAACTGATATAACCACATGACACATGAGGAGCAACTGACCAAGTCCGTCTCAAGTTCAGTCTGATGGACGATCGAAAAACACTTATGTGCCCTACCTCCAAGGTCATCGGCAGACGGCTGTTTTCTCACAACGGTCTACTTAGATCGAAAACTAGTCCTTAACCTCTGTGGTAAGACCCATGACAGAAAAGACATTGTCTGACTTAGAGACTTATAACTTCTCAGTAGGAAAATACACGATATCAGGCAGTAACGCTCTTCCCTAACGAATTTACTTTTGGAGGATGTGATGCTAAAACCAACGATGCTCAATAAATCTTCTCTATTATTTGGTTGATAGGCAGGAGAAGTGGTGATAGATGATCTGTTTCGAATGATCTAGATGAGATTTCCATGTTGAATCTTGATATAATTTCCGGCGGATATGTAATCAGATGCCTTTGTAGGTGACTGAATATCCACATTTACTGAATGGACAAGCGCTGTCTTATTTTAGCTAACAATAAGTCTATGGATCTGCCAGACACGGAAAAATGGAAAGCAAAGTCTATTTACTGCAGTTGTTCCTATGAGCTTTCAGACGTCCTGATTACTATATGTTAGGATCACTGAATCCCATCCACGCTGATGCTCATTTTGAGAACCACATCCCAGTCTACATATTCTTTTTCAAGTAAAGAGAAAAACTGGAGCAGAATAAGATATTCCAACTTCCCTTTGAAAAATGAGAGAATAACTTAAATGTTTCTCACTGTCGAATGGTTTTGATTTTAGCAGTTAGCCACAACCAAAAAAACCCAGATTATTAGAAGACTGTTATGTTCACTTGCACCGAGCTTGACTCTGTTTTACGCACTTTAACTCCACTCACACAGCCTAAATACAATAAAATATTGGACATCTGGCTAGTTAATTAGATCACATATCAGTACATGAAACTTTCGACCTTCGAGTTTAAGCTGCAGGCAAAAAATCCCCCAAAGTTTCCTATGGAATTAGAAAAAGTTCAAACTACAATAATTCGCAAACAGGGAATCATAAACTTTTCTCGTAACTTAGGAAATGAAAAGATTTTATCAGAATAAATGGTGTCCTTAAGATATTTTGGACGTTAATGGGTGATGCCAGATGGCATTTTCCAGTATGAATGCGATGAATTGCAATGAAGATGACATGGTTGTGTTGAATATATGTAAATGTAGAAGTGATTTTGCCATAAGTTCAATAGCCATGAACTGCCTTTAAAAAATGAAATGCCTGCACAGTTGTAATTTTTTCGAATGTAATTCAGATTACTGCATTAACTCTGTCACAATTTCAGAAGACATACTTATTACTTATTCTGCACTAACTGTCAAGGTCACGATAACATTGAACCCAGTTTCAAGTGGGTGTATGGGTGACCTTATGACATTCGTACCCTGTTAAACAGGTGTTCTATTTGGGGTAAGCAGTGTTGAAAGACATTAATGTAGGGACATAAATAGTTTGAGTTTAATCCATCTGTATATGTGGCGTTTTGTGTCCGATGTAATTAATTTTCATGTCAAACACATCGACTTCTATGTTAGTAAATTTATTTGTTAAAAAACAATCGCAGTTCTGAAAATACCAATGTATCTGTAGTCAACCGAACTTCAATGTTTGGAGGATATTAAAGTCCTGCTATAGCCCTGGTCCATGATAACTGCTTCAATAATGATTGCCTCCTAAAGTGCAGGGTTGTAGTCTATTTGTCGGCTTTGATGAATATGGAATGACTGTACCGTGCGGTTCGCTTCTGAATTTGGTGTATCTCCACGTGTTTTGCTATTGTAGTTGTTGCATTTGGCCGTATACTGAGTAGAAATAATCCACTAGTTAGTGGGTTGTGTTGAAAATTATTTCCTCTTTTTCAATCCATTGACCTTCCCTACTTTGTTCTGTCAAAATTTGGCAGTTATTATCCGCTTTTTTGACTGCTTGAGAATTCAAACGTAACTTAGGCACTTAAGCGCAACATGGTTTCTTACAATGCTACAGATGAAAGTAAGTTTTCTTGATGCGTCATTCCCCTTTGTTTTAGTTTTGATGTTGCGTACTTCTCACTATATATGCATGATAATCTTTTACGCAGTTGCTCTAAGACACTGAGTTTTCGATTACTGAAACTTTCTGTAGGCTACTGTTAGTCTTTGCCTCGCTGTTTGCTAGCGCGAAGCGCATACTTTGCAGGACGGAGTACTACATAGCAGGTTGTGTTATTACTTGGTAAATCCACGCTAGTCTGCTCTGCCTTAAACAATTTATCTTCTATTGGGAAATGCATAATGTGATTTAGCTATTTTTGGAGGATATATCTGAAATTTATTGGTTGTACTATTGAAAAGTGTCAAATTTACGCAGTCCTTTTAACTTCGCCAGGGGTTTGAAACTGATGATTATAATTAAAGTTGTTTGTGTGATGCCTTCGGTGTCGACAGGCTTCTCGTGAACACTTCATTTTACTAATTTGTTTGAGAATTGCATTGTTATTATGAAGAATATAGTATTGTGTAATCTGGAACGATATTTGTAAACGACATAGCATCTTAACCTACATCTTCCGTTTGTATTCTTAGCTTTGGCGGTACTGTTAGACTAGTTTCGTAAAATGATAACTTTTGTTCAGCTTGACTCTCTAAACCTCTGAATATATACATCTACTTGTTAGTTGGTGCTTTTGTTGTTCCTGATTGTGTTTTAAACAATATTTGTTCACGATGTATATTTTTTATTGTTTTAATGAATACTTGGATCTTTAGTTTTCATTTTTGCCTTGCTATTTTTAACATACCTTTGTTTCTGGTATTTTTGAGTTCTGACCACGTTATATTCATCACCAGGTGGCATTAATGACTGTGATATTTTTTAGTTTTTCCTCAAAATGTTTGCTCATCGAATGGACATATTTTTAGATGACCAGTATTCACTGCATATTGGGAAGACACCTCAGCATATACTACATCTGATAATAAGAATCGGTCATTCTTGCTCTGGGTGAGTGACTTCGACTCATTGCGTATATTAATGACTAGTCACCTGGTGAAAATCTGAGTTAAATCACGCTAGTTGTATTAATGTATAGAATAACGTGCATTTAGGAGTCTGTTAGAATACATCCGTTCATAAGTAACATCGCACTATGCATCAACATGATTGTTATTAGAATTCGCTTACTTGTTTTAAATGTTTCCTAGTCTGGAACTGAAGCAGGTAGAACAGGAGTTAAAATGAGACCCACTGGCTGAAAGTCAAATGTCTAAACCAATGAGTGATATCTCGTAATATGACTTTGTATGTTTTCATTTTGATATAGACTGCAATCGTGTAAATAGGCGTTGCAAGTAAACTGGTAAAAAAAACGAAGAAGCAAATTAGTCAAGTTAACTATGGAAATGATGGAAAGTAGAAAAAAAATTATTAAAGGTTTTGGGTCATATATGGTCCTTGTTTAGAAGATTTTACTCTACGAAGGGAGTTACTAGTAAAGAGAAAAGTACTTTCGAGAGTGTGAACTTCATCTTTATATAACACCTTCGTCATTCACTACATACTTAGTATATTTCTTTTATTCGATTCAGTGTGAGGTTACTTCGTATGTTCAGTATGTAAGCGAATGTGTAAAGCAGGAGGATAAAGAAATATTACAGCAGACTAAATGGGAAAAGTTATTGAGCTCGTACTTTTGTTTCGATGATCTCATAACAGCGGAAAATTCCATGAAGTAATTGACTGGCGACCACCTAACTTATCAATGCAGAAGTTTGCGTCAGTTTAAGCTGCCACATTTCAGCAGAACATATCGAAAAGTAACTTAAAGTAATTTAATGAAACTTCTATAATCGAAGGTGCACTGGAGACGAAATAATTCAAGCTTTTCAAGTATAACAATGCGCTGATACGTCAACGTGGTATCTTCATGAGTGTTCAGCAGCTGGGTTCTGAAAGTGTCAGCCAAGCTACAGTCTTATGGATTGATTTTTCCTCCTTACCTGACAATTTTAACCATGCTATCATTTAACCTATAGATTCACCCGTGTTAACAATGAAACGAAACCATCTGCGGTTTCAATTTTCTAATCGTATATCTACTTTTGTACGATTATGCATCAAGTCCGTAAAATGTGATTGATAAACTGCTATGTAACCCACTCATTATTCGTTTAGTGTCTGGATATAATAACAGCGACTAAGATGATGCATTTCGGCAAATGCTAAGTGAACCTTTTATTATATTCATACTAACGCTTAATCAATAATGAGTCGTTTAGGTCTAATGCAGCATAAAATAATTGAAGCAGTTGCTATAATCTACCATTTTACTCTCTTTACTTAGACTAGGTGTAATTGCAGATTGGTTAGACGGTTAGTAGTGTAATGGGGTATTAGCCAGTTAAAGTTATGCATCCATAGGTTCTTAAACTTAAAACAACAAATGACTTATCACTGTAGTTTTTTTTATTCCCTTACGTTCCCAGTGGAACATAGGGACTCAAGTTACAGGCTTGAAGTTTCCGTAGCAGTTGTGTTTATTTTTTACGGGATAGGGTAGCTAACCTCATGCCCAAACTTATCTTTTTACCAGTCTTATTACTGGTTTAACGAGGTAAAAGAGTGCGTCGGCTGGGATCAAACCCTAGACCACATACGTGGCTGGCGAGCATTCTGCCTCTGTGCCACCGACGCACACCAAACCTGGAAGTACTGGACAGCTGTTTCGTCTTAGTTTGGAGTTCTTCACCAGCCGCTCCCACCGGGGTTCGAACCCAGGACCTTCTGGTTACAAGGCAAGCTTGTAGACCATTAAGCCACTGGAATCTATCATTATAGTAGTGCTGAGAATACTAAAAGACGAGATTAAAACAAATATATTTATTTTTGAACAGTGATTTGAATGAATTCATTTATTGTAGCATTAATTTCCTGTTCCACCTAATACATCGATATTAGTACTATTGCTGTCGAAAATCATGATATTTTCTCGTTAAAAGCTATGACTTTTCTACTGTATGTTCGATAAAGTAATTAATCACCTTGGATAGCTAAATTTTAGTGCTTTCTTTAATATACCTATATATATATATATATATATATATATATATATATATATATATATATATATACTGCGAATCGTTTTATTGTTGGATTCTCTCATTCAATTAACAAAAAAGCATATGATCAATTCAAATGTGCTTCGAAGTTATGAAAAACAACTCTTTTAATCGTAGTGATCATGACACATTTTATGTGGTAATTTTGACTCATCAGTTAGACAACAAAAATACAATCTGATAGATGTGGTTTTAAACAAGTAGTTGAATTATTCAATTTCGGTAGACATCGATTTAGGAAATCATGAAATACTAGTTGAAGATGATCAGAATCCTTGAACTAAAATAGGTCATTCATATAGGATGCCAGTACCAAACAAAGCTGCCGTCAGATAAGCATTTGTTGAAGTTACTACATAGTTAAAAAAATTTCATACTTCAATTTCTTTTGAAGGCATCTGTGATGGCACAGTGGTTAGGACTCTCGTCGACCATGCAAATGGTCCGGGGTTCGATCCCCTGCCGACTCACATCTGATTATCTATGGTCGACCTGCAAAATTTGGGCTGCCGATATCACATGCTGAAAATTCCATACCTGTACCAAAAAATACGGTGTGCAATCAAGCTGTAGTAAAAAAAGATATAATTGGTTATCGATATGCGTTACTCTAGTCGTCCTTACAATCCACCTGTTTGTTTATAAAAAAAAATTGTGTATATATTAATAAAATTAATGGTTAATTAGAACTTCATATTTGTTTTTCCTCATTTTAGAAAATGGGACGTAAAAAAATTGAAATAAAATTTATTAAAGATGAAAAGAATCGTCTGGTAACATTTGCAAAGCGTAAAAGTGGTTTATTCAAAAAAGCCTATGAGTTGAGTGTGTTGTGTGAATGTGAAATCGCTCTGCTAGTATTTACACGTAGTAATCGTCTTTATCAATATGCTAGTGTTACTGTGGATCATGCTCTACAAAGACTTAAGAAACATCATCGTGCAAATGAATTCCTTAGTAATTCTGATATGGAAAGGGTAAGCCCGATTTGGGTTGTGTTTTTTTTAAAATTCTTATCAGTGTAAACGTAGTTTTTAAGGCATGCGTGTTTGATTAATTCTGCGTGTGAAAAAAAATTTTGCAATACCTTTTTACGAATGCAATTTCTGCTAAATAATCGTTTGGTATTTTAAATTATTCTTGATTTAAGGATTTCATCATGAGCTGACATTAGTTAGAGAACCATTGGAAAACCTGGGAGTACTGGACAGCTGTTTCATCCTGGTTTGGGACTCTTCATCAGTACGCACCTACCGAGATTCGAACCCAGGACCTTCCGGTTACAAGGCGAGCTCGTATACCATTAAGCCACTGGGACCTGATCCAATGGTCCTTGAATTCTAACTTCTGCCAATTCACGACATAGCGCGACCGCTAACAAATGTCTTTGGCGAGTATTTGTCCTCACACCCGACCCACTGCACCCTACTGGTCACGACCTCCCACTGGAACCCAGGTAACTACCTACCTGAATAGGGCCAGTCGCCAGTGAGCATCTCATTGGAAACATTCCACTTTTTTCATGCAATCAAAGGGATTTTATGCCTAATGCTAGGTACGCTTATATAAAAAAAAGGAAACGAAATATACACTCCTTAGTTGTGGTCTATGCAACAATTGAAGGAAGTTCACATCTTCGTCATGCATCTTATGGATATTTATTCCGAACAATTTACAGTCATGCTAAGTCCTGTGTCATTGTCTATAAATTTGTCTCTGTTCTTGTAGATTCGCTTTGGGGGTATGTACTACTCAGCACATATTTGAGAGTCAATTTGTTGATTCGAGTTACCATAGTTTTTATTAATACCACAAAAGTTAAAATCTAGAAGCTCTGTTGGCATAATTGTTTTCTCTGAAGCTTTAATTGTTTTCTTAGACGACATTCTCAGCACAAACATCAACATGTAGTGAGCTTTTAGAATTCATCTTGGGTTTATTATTCGTCTCACCTGGTGACCATGACCGTGATTGATTGTTTCTGGAAATTTTCTCATTCTGTTGTCTACTTATACTGCTATTGATTATTTTACTGACATGATAGTATAACTCTTGTGTGTTTTACTTTTCGTTGTTTTGGTAGACCGTACATATGTTCGTGTGTGCCTAGGTAGTTATGTGAGTGCTAGCAGAGTGGTGATGGATGAAATCTCTGATGGGATAGTGAAAACTAAGACTGTATATATCAACGTAGGACACCTCTAGTGCCGTGTGAACGTTAATCTGGTGGTAAAAGTCAGGTGTGCAGTCTTTTGGGGCCCCCAAAGAGGGGCTATACGCGCGTAAAAGCTGGTCTTGGAACTGTGAAGGCATGCAGTGACCTGCGTTTTCGATTGACGCTGCCTCCGGATAACTATTCTCTCACTGACTGTCATCATGATGTAAGTAATTTTGAGGTCTAAGTTGAAAGGTCAGCAACCTCGCCTTGTAACATCAAAATACTAGGTTGGGTCTCCGGTAGAGTCATGGTGTAACAACAGAAGACAAGGGCCAGACTACAAATCGTTTATTTAGGAAATCAACACATTTAGAGATTTTCATGCACATTATTATAGATTATTGTAAGCAAATAAACACAGTCTTCTGATTGGTGGTTTCCTGTTGAACGTCAATCTTTCATCTCTTTGTGGTCGTTTCTTGAAGTTCAGATTATCTATCTGCAAATTGTATCCGCCTACGCAAAGTCTCCTGTGATTAGTTGTTAAATCAGTCTTTGTTCTTATTTTTCTCACGACCAATATTGGGGACGTAAACACTGATGTAAATTACTGTCTTCCAATTTGGCTAGCAGCCAGCTCTCACCACTGTTGAAGAGTTGCGAACTGGTACGAAACAAGCGTCCAGTACTATCCGGTTTTCAGTGGTTATCTAGCTGAAGTCGGTTTGTAATCAATCTTGAAATCAGTCAAATCCCTACAAACCAAAATTTGAAAATGTGAATCAATTAGTAGTTTCGTTGTTTGTATTATTTGTTTTGTTAACTATTTTTTTTAAACTATTTTAGTTAACCAAACGTCGAATGCGATCCAACTGTAATGGACCTGGTGTTATACCACAACAACCATATTCAAATATCAAGAATGAAGAAAGTAACAACGGAGATGATAATGACGACGAGGAGGAAGACGATGATGATGAAGTTGAAGGAGAAGAGGAAGAAACAGGTTCCATTTTAAGTGTGAAAAATATCAACAATAATTGTCAAATAATTGATGTTGATAAAGCGAAATTCACTGATCAAATTGATATTCAATCGTCAAATGTAAGATATATTGTTGATACACAACAACAGCCAACATTTAATATGCATTCACGCAGTTCAGTGAATACTGTCACCGAGAATCATATACGACCGGTGAGCTCTATAGCCTTACCACTTAATCCTTTAATAATAACATCAACAAACCCAGTAGTAACAAGTGATTATTTAACGCATATTCAACCCGTACTTGCCTCTCATGCATCTAATACACAACTTCAATTCTCCTCTAATGCTCATTTAATTCAGTATCATAGACCATTGCATCAATCAGCTCAATGTTCTCCAGCCTCCCCGTTTACCTGTGATAATACTATTGTACATTCAAAGGTAATTTAATTACTTTATGTAATATCATCATTTTAGCACTTTTATAGACTTAGAATCTTTATGATAACTAGATAATTTTTACTGAATAACTTAGAAGCTACGAATAGAAACTTGTACGACTTCTGAATTGTACTGGAATGGTGCACTCGATTGCTTTAAACTATGTTTGTTGATTGATTTCAGATCTTATTTCACAACTACTTGTTTCTTTGTAGTTTATCAAATGGTATTCGGCTGTATTTTGTCATAAAAACAGACATAAATATCACTGAACAGCTTTTTCGTCCTAGTCTGGGACTCATCATCAGCGCCCCCCCCAAGATGCACCCACAGTCGGACCCGAAACCTCCAGGTTGCGAAACCAAGTTCGTTGACCATTCAGCCACATGGGAAGGAATGCAGTGACTCGTGAATTTTAACTCAGTTGATTCATGATATAGCGCCAACTTAAGTCAATGTCTCCGATCAGTATCCACTTCACCTCAATGTGGTGGACCCCACTAGCCACGACTTCTCAGTGCAACTTCAGGACATCCATCCAGTAGTTATCAGTGAGCTAGGGATTGATATTTAGATTGTAGGTCTTCACAGGGATTTGGATGAATTTCAGTGTAGAGGACGTAACAGCTACCCAGTGCTCCCTGGCTTTCAGTGATCTCTCTGTGAGTGATGTTGGCTCGTGACAAAATCTACATTGTAATTAATTTAAATCCCTACATCAAAACCCATAATCTAAATTCAGTCATTACACAAGGTGACTTTTTGATTGGTGGTGACTAGTAGTAGAATCTAGGATACTTGTTTCGTCCTATTTGGGACTCGTCAATGGGACGTATGTATCTCTAGTGAGTGATGTTGTTCCTATTGGGACTCTAACCCTGTACCCACAGCGTTATTCACTGGAGTTAACTGTTGTGCAACGGGCATCAGTTATTACTTGATTTCACGTTAATTTGCATTGCTCAGTCCACGGGACTGGCTGATTGGTTTCAATATAGAACTTTGTACAGTTGTGCGGCAGTTCGAGTTGCTACACTCCATGTGGCACACAAAGCACAGGGGAAGAGAGTAAAGAGAGATTCAAAAGAGAGGGAGAGAATAAACATAAGTGTAAGGGAAGAGTTTTATTGGGTATGATAAATCACAAAGAGTGAATGCACCTGCACAATTGAGAACGATTTTGATCCATATCAGCAGTTGTCTCCAGCCTTCATTGGCTCTTACCATCCCGAGGACCCCGACCAGGAAGTCTACGCCTCCCTACGCGGCTAGTTTAAACTAACCGTCGTAGATTTCGTTGACTGATAAAGCCATGTTTTGGTTTGACCAACCTGGTTCTATGACAGCTAACACTGCCCGTCGACGAAGGCGATGACCAGGAATGCGTAACGCTTGTCCTAACCATCTCAAATGATATAAATATCCATAAAGGAGAATGGAGCGAACTGGTGCGCAGCACACACGTCCTTAAGTCGATAGCTGGATAGCACGTCTATACCAGAGATGGCGTAAGTTGGTATATACGAACCGAGCCTTCTGTATCCGTGCGGAGATTTCGTCAGCATTCAACCCCGTTGGAGGCTGATGCAATTTCCAAAATAATTGAAGTGGTCAACACGCCCTATTACTTCACCCCCTATCTTTAAGCTACGAGTTGATTTAGCCTAGTCATGTAGCATCATCTTACATTTGAAGGGGGTCAGTCGCATGCCAAACATTTGTAGATTGCAGCTCAAGGTGTTCAGAAGACTCTGAATTTTGTCAGCGTCTTCACCTAGGAGGACTATGTCCTCCGAATATTCTAAGTCAACGTGATTACCTCCTGTTAACAAGTTAATTCCTGAGTCTCTGAAGTGAGTTAAGCTTCATTCCGTTGGCCTATCTGTGATGGAACTTAGCAGAAATGGGGACAGTAGGCATCCCTGACGGAAACCACTGGTTGTCATCACTTCAAATAACCACTCCCCGTAGGCTCTTACCTGGCTGCATGAGTTTGATTAGAGTATCTTGATCAGTGTAGTCTATTTTCTCGGCATTCGCTCCACAGCGAAACATCGCCGTAATATCTCTCGGTTGACAGAATCGAATGCCGCTGTCAGGTCAAGAAACATGTCAATTACTTGATAGTCAAGGGGAAATACAATTAACTGAAATAATCGTAATCATTACGTGTAATTTACACCTAGTTCTCTGTAAATGGAAACATTTTTAGTCGTAAGCACTGAATAATAGATATCTGAATAAAGATTATACTTATAAGGCGATGTATTCCACTTTTTGTGATGTTGCGGAATCATTGTTTACTGAAAAAAGTCTCCATGTGAATATGACATCCTACACGTATTAACTTTACTTTAATCGAATTTTAGATTTTCCCGTCGATTGATTGGTCCGAAGTGCTCGGTCTCAGGTTGACATGTCGGCTTCCTGTGCATATACTTCGACGATGTCTGGGCATGTAATTAAATTTAATTTGTGGATGGTGACTAGCAGTGGAATCCAGGATGCCCATTTCGTCCTATCTGGGACTCGTCATCCAGATGTACCTGCATTCTCCACTGAGTGATGTTCCCACCGAGGCTCGAACCCAGTGCTCCAGTGCTTTGGCGTTTGAAACAATCGGCACTGGGTTCGAGCCTCAGTGGGAACATCACTCACTGGAGAATGCAGGTACATCTGGATGACGAGTCCCAGATAGGACGAAATGGGCATCCTGGATTCCACTGCTAGTCACCATCCACCAGTTATATTAGCTTTACTTTATGCTAATTTCCACTTTGACCAACCATTTTGTCTGCATGGCAGAAATAAGAAGACAGAGAGTACTGATGTACTTTTTCCTAGCCTTTCTTTTAGACCACCTATTCCAATATATTTTTACATAATCCTCGGGTGAACGAATTCTAAGGCAATGGAATTTTTGACCGAATTTGTGAACAGAGCATAAACTCTTATATAAATGTACTAATTTTAATGAAGGGAATAACGGCGAATTAGTTAATCAAGGTGTCACTCAATTAATTATCATTACTATAGGGATACCAGTTAATTGTCTTACAAGATGGTCATTTTAAATAGGCTTTTAAGTATTATGGTAGCTATAATATTACCTTTTACAGTTCTCTCGAGCACGTCATACTACAACTCTATTAGGAGATATCATAATTCAAATGGAACTGAATTTCTGTTGTCACCAAAATGTTTTTTTTTCAAAATAATGCAAATATCGTTATATACAGAAGCTTTATAGTTTTACGAGTTTTATGCTCAGTTCAGACCGATTATTATCGTTCTAGAGTGAGATAGTGAAGTTTCTTTGTGTTCGGGAGTATTTTACAGCTATGGTTACTGGTGGATATTTTCCCGCTTGTTTTAAAGATCATTTCGATTGCGTTGACAATGTGTATTAACACGTAGTACTAACTAGATAAATGTAAATGTTTTCTTAAGCACAGTAAAATACTGATAATGGCTTCCACAACATCCATGTGCACATCACCTTTTAACTTCACTACTGCTTAACATATAGTATTGAAAATGTTTCACTGTGGGGTTACATATCCTCAGTCTCCCTCGGATGTATATCTGATGGACTCGTGGCTCAAGTGGTCTAGTGGATGATAACGCTTTGGCGTTTGAAACTATGGCCTCTGGGATCGAGCCTCGGTGGGGACATCATCATTCACTGGGGAATGCCGGTACATCCAGCTGACGATGAGTCCCAAATAGGACGAAATGCGCGTTGTCTTGGATTCCACTGCTAGTCACCATCCATCCTATTGTATTCAAATTGCCTTAAGTCTTCCATACTGGATAAGTTTGTTCGATACAATACATAGTATAATATACAGTATTGTAATAGCAGAAGGCAAGACGTGGAAGCATAGGCATATTTCCAATTGATCAAACCGCTATTTATATAAATATACAGTGTATATTCTTTAACCAATCACTGAGCCTGTGATTTTGGTTTACATTAAACGGCCTGATATAGAATGTTCAAATACGTGTACAGTATTCTGTTGCCAATGCAGTGTATTGAACTGTGGGAATATGTGAGAATAATATTCCATTGGAACCGATTATCTGTCTCATGCCATCACAGTATTAGTAACTGGACTTCATTTCGAGTACAATCTATTTGCTCAAAATGGTTGTTTGTATGTGTAAGCAATTGAGCGTACTAAAATTTTCACCTTATAGAGTCCTTGTTATCACCGTTTTTGCTGACTTATTTGGTTACAGAATTTCATCATGAGCTGCTGACATCGGTTAGAGAACCTGAGAGTACTGGACAACTGTTTCGTCAGCCTAGTTTGGGTCTCTTCATCAGTACGCACCCACGCCACGGGGTTTGGACCCAGGACCTTCTGGTTACAAGGCCAGCGAGCTCGTAGACCATTAAGCCACTGGGACCCTATCTAATGGCCCATGAATTACAACTTCATGTTCACTTATTTCTTGATTGTTTTGGGTTTTTTTGGTTAAGACATTTTCCATATTCAATTCTGTTTCAATTTATTATTTGTTCTGTGTTATTTGTGTTTGTGCCTCAGTGTCTGACAACATATAAACTTATTTATTCTTATACAAAACTTTTATCCTTCTCTTTTACAGCCATTGTGTACAACTTTACCGAATTTAACAAGTCAACGTAAGTAGAAAATAAATTTAAAATAAAAGATTATTGAATGAATATACAAACTATTGATTATTCTCTTAACTGAGCTGTATTCATGTGTTTGTTACAGTAGAAATACTTGTTAGAAAAGTCATTACTGGCTAAAAGTTTAGTACATCGGTGGTTTAGCGGTAGAACGAACGCTTGCCAACCATGTCACATATTATAGTCCAGAGTTCGATTTCCGGCCGACGAACTCCTAAGTCTCGCTAGGCCAGTAAAGAGGGAAAGTTGGGTGTGAGACTAAGCAACCCCACTCTGTAAAAGTAACAATCACTGCTAACGAAACTTCAGAGCTCTAGCTTGAAGCATTACGTTCCACTCGGAACTTAAAGGAATAAAATTTTTAAGATATAAGCCAAAAATTTAACTCAGAAGCGCACCTTCGTTTCATGTTTAACTTTATTATTAGTTTTTTTCCTTCACGTTCCCAGTGGAACATAGGGCTTCAAGATAGTGGCTTGAAGTTTCTGTAGCAGTGGTGATTATTTTTACAGGATGGGGTTGCTAGCCTCATGTCCAACCTTTCCTCTTTACCAGCATTATTTCTAGGTAAGCGACGTAAAGGAGTGCGTCGGCCGTCGTCATGTTTAACTAGTCAAAATGAAAACAATAAGTAGCGGTGACTACCAGCATTATTCTATCACAACAATCACCCTTCGTGTTTGAACTCAGAGGTAATCAAGGAGTTGAAGTTCAGCCTATCTAACATCTATTCTGAAATGAAATGTTTGAGGAAAACTTTGTGTGTGTGTGTATCTGTACAGTTGCGTTTATTTGAAATCTGGCTACGTTTCATTTTTGATTCTTGGGAAAAGAATAAGTAATTCAGTAGATTCCCTTGTGCTGTTGATGAATATTCAACAGGTGATAATAGCGCACATCGATGGTTCACTGGTAGAATGTTCTTCAATCATGCAGCAGGTGGCCTGGGGTGGATTCCTGACTGAAATGCACTCATCAACATCTCTGGTTTACTAGCCGGTAATAAACCAGGGAAAGAGGAAAGGTTGGATGTAACGCTAACACAACGCCACCCTGTAAAAAGAAATCACCATTGCTACGGAAACTTGAAAACTTGAAGCCAATTGAAACCGAAGGAATAAATCAAATGTTGATAATAACGAATCTTAAAGTTTTTTAAAAAGAAACAGGCACTACAGGCATATTAATATATGTGTAAACCTTGAGCATTGTGGTAGTAAGTAATTCCATATTAGTTTGTTTATTAGATGTATCACACAGTGAAACAGAATTGATAACAGAAGTTTTGTTTATCGAATCAACTGCAAATACATGTAATAGGAATGATTCAACACCTGTCCAGTTGGATATCTGGAAAATTCTACTACCATGCCCACGACGACAAATAGGAGAGGACAAAGAAGGCTATAAAACTCAAGTTTCAAAGTCGTGTGATTATAATTGATGAGATGATTGTGAACAATAATAAATTTTGTTCGAAACCCTGTCATCCAGTAAACACTAATACTGTTTCAATGACTGTGTGATACATTTGATAAACAAGCTAATATGGAATGGTAGTACAGGCAATTTTCATGCTATTGTTGACAGTAAATATTGATCAACAAACAATTCTACAAGGTGCAATATAATCCGCAGAGTAGAGTAAATTTATTATTACCTTTCATAATCTGTTATCAGCTTTTAGCAAGAGGGAAGTCTTATGAATTATTTAAGCAGAATATTTGCATATCTTTCATAGAAGTTAGTCAAAGCAACTCAGAATTACTTCTGTGGAAATTTTGTGTAACTTAAAGAGTATTTTATTGCGGGATAGAAGCAGTAAACAGTTCCCGTGGAAATTATCTACGGTGTATAAATTGATAATTTTACCATAGTAATCATATCTGAAAGCCTGAATTACTAAACATGTTTCTAATACCAATTAATTTAGTGTCACTCTTGTTTCATTGTCAGAAGTTTTACTACACGCGCATCTTAGTTATTTGCGATTAATGAGCTGTTAACATGAATGAAACAAGCTGTTCAGTATCCCCTAATTTCATTATTTATTATTATTATTATTACTATTTCCTTGGGTTCCGAGTGAAACACAGAGCTTCAGAAAAATATCTCCATTTCTCCCTCTTTAACTGACTCCACGATTGTTCATAATATCTCATTTCCTCACACAGTGGTCTCCTTTAAGTCACTCTCGAATCCACGCCCAACTCATCGATTTGGAATAGGGTTCCACTCGAGCAGTGACCTGGGGAGGAAGGTCACTTAACGATTTTCTCAGTTTTCGTTTAATCCATCTCCATTTCCTTCTGCACACTTGCTGGGGGGGATGGGTTCTTGATTGGTTCGTTCCCGGGGGTTCCCTGCTGCTTGCCTTTTCTAGCCATCTGATCTCCAGTTTGAAGTGAAGGGAACACTGTTGTGATAGAAGTTTCCAGCCTGTAGGAAATGCTTCTGGTGACGTGTCCGCCAAGTTTTCGAACCATATAGAAAATTCTCTTATTTACAGTGGCTAATCGACAGGTAATATAACAGTAGTGACTTTTAATTGGTATGTGGCGACTAGCAGTAGAATCCAGGATGCGCATTTCGTTCTATTCGGGACTCGTTGTCAGCTGGATGTGCCTGCATTCCCCGGTTTCTTGTGCAGATGCTTCGACGATGTCCGGGCACCTGCACAAGAAGTCGACATGTCAACCTGAGGCGGAGCACTTCGGTCCGATCAATTGATGGGAAAATCTAAAATTCAATTAAGTAGTGACTTTTGCTGTGGAAATCGCCTCAAAATGTGTGCATTATTCCCTTTTTAGCCTTCCTATATTCCTTAGTTGTTAACAATATACTCACAGCACACATGTAATAATGTATCTGTTTGCGCTGATGTCTACTTTTCTTTTCTTTTAACTCTATACTGTGTTACAGCTGTGGAACAGGTGAATAATCTTCTATTACCAAGTCAAATGTCTACGCCTTATTTAATTCAACATCCATCTGCTGACCATCAGACAACTTTACCAATAGAATGTTCAAATCGAAATAATGGACATTTACTTGGTGCTGCTGGTGGTGTTGGCGGTGGTGATGCCTACATGGAGACTTCTTTGAATCATCCTTATCGTGATACAACAAGTATCATGGATTCTGGTGTTTCATCTAACTTCTCAGCTAACAGTAATAATAGTAATAATACCCTAGGTCAAATGCAGTGTACATTATTAACGCCAGTTCCGTATACAAAGGAATTAAAAACTGATCAACCTATGTTTATTATATCATCTGTTGTTGGGAATAATAATAATAGTAATAATAATAATAATAATAACAGTAATCAACAACAACAACAACAGATTTCCAAACCAGATTTAATCCCTTCACTTACTGTAGAATCTCAAGTAAGTTTTTTACTCGTCTTGGTTTAAAATTGCCTATTTTATATAACACTTATAAGTTTTAATGAAGAAATAGTTGATTTAACTCCTTTTTTCAACTTTACGCTGTTCTCAAGACAGAAATATCTTAACACTTTTGATTTGACACTAGTAACTAGTGTGATGTGTCTAGTCCTCTGATTGGTGCAGACTGAATTCTATCAGTCAGGTTGTAATGTGGCCACCATTCTAGGTAGCTCGCTATCACGGTACAGTTATAGAGAGTTGGTTAGTTAGTTCTTCAGAACTCATATTCCTTGTGTATCAGACTATGAGCCACACTGATTCTATAGGGAGTTGTAATGCTATCCAGCTTTTAAGGCTGAAGTAAGTAGGCGAGCCAAAATGTCGAACCTGGAACCTCTTTAGCTAAAAGCTGAGTGTTGAAACCAATGAGCCACACCACATCTGTCAGTTGCTTAAATTGGTTATTCATTAGATCCTAGCTTCTTGTTTTCGAATGTAATAGGAAAAATACAGTTATTGTGGTAGTCGTGTATTGTAAGGTTAGTTAGTCGAATGTCTACAAAACCAACACTTAAAAATCGTGTAGGTTTATATTCCAGTTTGGATGATAGCTGTGGTACTAGGTAACTGTTTAAATCTTTGGAGGGGGATTGTTATTTGAACACACCTGACTCACTGATGTTTACTTCAATGCATTGATGTCCATTCGTCTAGACTACTACTGTTACCATTCTTATTCAGTTTCATTATAAATGTGTTGATGAATATGACCCTGGATATCAAAGAAGGAATTGGTTTACTTCCAGACGGAAGTCAGCTTGAGAGAGAGAGAATGCAGGTGTATTGTTATTCTTTAGGTTGAAAACTTTGACAATGTGCTGAGTATCCTGAACATTCGAAATGAAAATTTGAATTAGTTTGGTATACGATTTGTCCCTGTCTTCACTGACGCGTAGGCACCGTTATGTCTTTGATTAGATGCATCTACTCCCCTTGTGACTTTTGATTTCCAATGAAACTATATTGTTCTTCGTTATTACTATTCCTTTGTCTCACACCTCTGTTTATTGTGTCTCTATTATGCATTTCGCTTTACTTTCTTCTCTTGCTTTATGTGCTAGATGAAGGTAGTGTGGGGACTTGAACTGGTGCACATCGGTGCAAAGTCCTATGTCGAAAACAGATGAATTACTTTGTTTAAGAATAGGGAGCCAAACAGTTGAAACAGTTGACCACTCCACTTATTTATGAAATTATATTAATTCTAGTAGACTAACTGCTAACGAAAATTCTAAGCGTGTATATAAAACGTTCGTTTAGCATTAGTCTACTTGCATCATCTTTAGTGTAGGTATGCTATGGTATCCAACTATGTGTTTACAGGACGTGTGTACTCTGCTGTCTGTCTGTTTTCGACATAGAACTTTGCACCGATGTGCAGCAGTTCAATTCGCCACACTCCCTTCATTATAGCACAAAAGCAAGAGAAGAAGATAGAAGAAATGTATAATAGAGACAGTAAACAGAGATGTGAGACAAAGGAATAATAACAACGAAGAACAAAACAGTTTCATTGGAAATCATAAGTCACAAGGAGTGGATGCATCTGCGCCAGCGATTGAGAACGATTTTGAGCCATGTCACCAATTGTTTCCAGCTTTCATTGGCTTTAACCTTCCCGATGACCTCAACCAGGAAGTCTACACCTTCCTACGTGGCTTAGACAAACTGTTGTAGATTTCATTGACTGGTGCCATGTTTTGGTTTGACCTCCGCTAGCTCTTTTCCAGCTTGACATTATGTCAGTTAACATTGCTTGTCAGTCGAGAAGGGCGAGGACTAGGCATACGTAACACATGTCCTAACAATCTCAGTCGATGTAATTTCAGAGCATCGTCTACTGATTTCCCCTCCTTACCTAGCACTCAACGCCTAACCTCACTATTGCTCACCTTACTATACCACTTCACACGGGAGATAGAGCGCAGGCACCTATGGTCAAAGACAGCTAGTCTTCTCATGTCTTCTACTCTCAATGGCCAGTTCTCACAGCCAGAAATAAAGGAGGACAGAGCGGAATGATGAGCCATACACCCGCCCTTTGGTCGATAACCGGCCGGATATCACTTCTGCGCCAGAGATGGCGTAAACTAGCATATGCGAAACTAGCCCTCTGTATCCGTGGTGGATTTCGTCAGAGATCAACCCGTTGGCACTGGCTGATGGTACTTCCCAAATAAGTGAAGCGGTCAACGTACTCTACCATTTCACTCCTATTTTTAAATTAGGAGTCGATGTAGTTCAGTCCTGTAACATCATCTTACATGTGTACTCTGCACCATTTTAGAAGTCATTATTATTCTGTATGGCTTTCTGTCAAGATCATAGTGTTTGTCAGTGTTTTAGTAAAAAAATATTAGATTAATTTTGTTTCTGTGATTGTTATTATTGTAAAGTCTTATGATCTAAAAGAGATAGATCTCTTTTGAGCTTAAGGGACCACGTGTACGTATGCTGATTATTTTTCAGAATTGCAGCTGCAAGTTTTTATTTAGCAAAGCGTGAGACTAAGAATTTGTACACTTTCGATTGCCGTTAGCAATAAGATTATTATGCACAAATGATTCCAGGGGACTTTTTCGCTTTACCTTCACTTTGCGTTCTGAATGGAAAATAGGACTTCCAAACTTTGAGGTTTCACTAGCGGTACGGTTGTTAGTCTTACGCCCAACCTCTTCCCTCTTTTTACAGATTCATTATCGTTTAGTAAACGAAATGTGAAGTTTATAAAAGTTTATAAAACCGGGAATCGAACCCAGACCACTGACACTTGATCGATTCAAGGGTGTACTAAAATACAAATAGTTTCGTTTGTAGAATTTTCTGTTATAGGATAGATTATATTCTATGTTAAAATAAAATGAAACGTTTAGATGTAATGTCATTATTTTCTATAGTTTGTTTCGTTGTAAGGGTTAGTTATGTTTTTACGAATTGATCATGGATTGATATCAGTTAGAGAACCATTGAAAAGCAGGGAGTACTGGACAGCTGCTGTTTCATCCTAGTTTGGAATCATCGGCAGTACGCATCCACTGCCAGGGTTCGAACCCAGGACCTTCCGGTTTTTACAAGGCAAGCTCGTATACCATTCAGCCACTGGGACCCGATTAAATGGCCAACCCACGAATTCTAACTTCTACCAATTCGTGATTTAGTGCGACCCCAACCATTGTCGTTGGTGGGACATCCATCCTCACACGTGACATCTGGTTGGACCTCACTGCTCACGACTTCTCACTAGAACTCCAGGAAACTCCATCCTGTAGCAAGTCACTAGCGCGAGCATCAGATTAATTTTCTATAGTTTGGTTTGTAAGGGTTAGTTTTCAGTGTGGTTCTCTAACTGACATCAATCCGTGATCAATTCGTAAAAATGTCATTATTATTTACTACTCATCCAGTAATAATTAACTGTTCATTCAGGGTTATTTGTCGCTACATTTGATTCCCTCTTTCTTGTTTCTTATCGAGTGCAATTTATTGCTTTTTTTTCTTGTATGACGTATGTGAGAAGATGGCACTGTGTTGTCAAGTAGATAAGATCAAAACGAAACTCAGTTCAGTATCAAGGGATCTGTTCACCTGGAGCTTAGGCTGAAAAAGACTAATTAGAATCATTAAACAAAAGGGCAGATGGCCAAGTAAAAACATGCCTAGTCGTTGGATAACAATTGGAATATATGAAAAATCGTTTCTGGGTGATGCAGTTATGTTGAATTATGATAGTAAATAGTTTAGATGTCGGTGTAGTTTACAAGAAATCGTCACTATTACTCTTTACCCTTCAGTAGGCATGATTCACTGATAGATTGGTGATCATTCTAGTTGGTAAGAAATGAGTAACTATTCTTGTGATAATCACCAACGGACAGATGCTCAGCTTGATCCTAGGGTCTAATCATGAGAAAACTAAATGTTACTCTAGGGAAACTAAATCTGAAAGGATCACACAGGTTTAACAGGCTTGTCGATTTTCGACTAATCCAATCTTTTCCCTCTTACAGGTTTTGCACAGGTGGCACAGTTGTTAGGACTCTCGTCGACCATACACATCGTCCGAGGTTCGAGTCCCTGCCGACGCACACCTGATATCTATGGTCGGCCTGCAAAATTTGGGCTACCAATATCCATGCTGAAAATTCCATACTTGTTCCAAAAATACAGTGTGGAATCAAGCTGTAATCAAAAATAAAAAATAAAAATAATCACTAAATTCCTAAGTAAAGGTGGTATTCAATCCCATCAACTGAAGAGTGCTCTGGCAGTGTGACTAAAAGGAGTACTAACAAAGTACATTATTAATATAATGCTCACTAGCGACTGGCCCTTTTCAGGCAGTTAACCTGGGGTTCTAGTGGGAAGCCATGACCAGCAGGGTACAGCAGGTTAAAGGTGAGGCAGTAACTCATCAAAGAAGACATAGCAAAGTGGTTGTGCTATGTCATGAATTGACAGAAGTTAGAATTCATGCCTTGGCTGTTGGATCGGCTCCCAGTGTCTTAATGATCTACGAGCTCACTGGCCACATAACCAGAAGGTCCTGAGTTCGAACCCCACGGTGTGGGTGCGCACTGATGAAGCAGAGTCCCAAACTAGGCTGACGAAATGGCTGTCTAATACTCCCTGAAGGTTTTTCTATGGTTTTTCAAACTGATTTCAGCTTATGATGAAATCCTCCAATCAATCAAAGTACATTATGGTTATCAGTAGCATCCCACTTAAAGTCATACCAATAGTCTCTGCATGCAGTGATAACCAATAGTATTCTTCAAGAATGTTCAATTTCCTGTTGTTTAATTTCACTATAGTCTTACTAGCTGAGATTGGCGTCTCAAGAATTAACTTGTTGCAAGTGTAAGTGGTAGTTGATTTGGGCCATATGAATGACAGCATGCTGTTGCTTAAAGACGCTAAAAATTTCAGTCTCCTGAACATGAG